TCCGGGCGGCTCTGCCCCCCTTCCCCTGCGGCTGGCGGGGAAGGAAGCCGGCCAGACACCTGACTTCTGGTGGGTCTGGCTGTTGCACGACTTACCAAAGACTTCAGGGCTGCAAATCGAGTGCCCCCAAGGCATCGCTATGAAATTATCAGTTACTTGATTTGGAGGAAGCCCTCGGAGCCTGCCGGTGCTGGTGGGCTTGCCTGTTGTCTTTGGAGGGAGGAGTACGCGTGCCTCGGAGGATCAGAACTGACCCAGAGATGTTCTTGTCTTCCCCTGAGAAACTGCTGATCCGTTCGTCTCGCGTTTGAAACCACGTACAGAATGCCAATGTGAGTATGTAAGATTACTTTTTGGAGGTGATTAACATAGAATTTGTATGGGGAGAGTAGGGAATTTCCCTGGATTGTATTACTTACAAATCTTTTGGCTATAGTTGAAGATCCAGTTAGCGCTTTCCTGGTTGAGAGGCTGCCAGGGAGAACTGAGTCTATAGGCTAACTCTGGAGTGCCTTTTTTTTTCTTTAAGGTGGGGTTGTTGGTTGGTTTGGGGGATTTTTGGTAGGAAAACAGCAACGTTGGACCAGGGCGAGTTCCTTGTGGCCCTTTAGCTTGTGTGGGCACATGCTGAGGTTGCCTCTTCCAGGCTGGCTGGTCTAACTGAGCCTTGGAAACGAAAGCTGTGATTAATCTCCGTGAAATGAGATAAAAGGCGTTATCCTGCCTTGCGTTAGAGGGAAGTGGAAGTCAGCTTTTCTCACAACGCGTCTCCTAGCCTTGACACTCTTGTATTTTGACTTACACTTTTCTCTAGGTCTCCCTCTCTGTTGTATTTCACGTCTCTCTCTCTCATGCCTCAGACAGCGTTTCGTGGTCTCATTAAATGTTTTCTGGTTCTGAGGCATCTCACGGAGTCCTCGCAGCCCTCGTGCAGTGTCGTGGCCATGGCTTATTATTGCCACAGGTTTTAACAGCACATTCATGCAGTTCCTTGCCAGACCGGTTAGATCCCTTATCCTGGTGTCCTTGCTTATTCAGTCTTTTCCTCTGGTGGGTCCGTGCTGCTCCTCTGTTCACAGTCACCCAGGACTCATTAGTAGGGTTAGTAACATAACTCTGTGTTACTCATTCTTTGGATGAATAACTGCAGGATTACCAACGGCAATTGTTTTCGCTGCATCCTTGGCAGAAATCTGCCTTGGCTTGAAATTTCTTCCCCACCATAAAGGCTAAACAGTTTTTAATTCAGTAGAGGCACCAGCTTTGCAGGAGTGGGAATTGCCATCTGAACTGCATGGGAAAACTTGTGGGAAATTACTGGAATTGTGCAAATTTGCAGCACTACAGCGCAGAGGTACTCTGCTTGTTTTCCGATTCTTCTTTCTGTACAGCTTTAAATGGGAAAAAAACCATAATTATTTTCATTCTTTCGGACAGGTTCAGCAACAGGTTCACCCAAACCTTTCAGCAAAAGAAGATTCCCTCTACTACATTGAAGAGTTAATACTGCAGCTGCTAAACAAACTGTGCATTGCTCAGCCACGGACTGTCCAAGACGTGGAGGTAAGACTAGATACTGGGAAACCAAGTGGTTTCAGGGCTTCAGAATAGAAATAGAATTTTTTCTTTCAGCATTATTTTTGTAAATGAGGAATACTTTGAAGGATTTTCTGCGGCTCAGATACACCTTGGACTGAAGAATGTAAGGATGTAGCAAGTTTTCCTACTCTTTGACGTAAAAGTGCAGGAAAAAAGTAAATATTGGAATGAAGGCTGACTGTTGTTGGGCCTGCGTTGCGCAGCTGAGGGAATAGAGTTGTATGTTCCTGGAACTTTACTGAACTCACGGAGGCTCTTGTATTATTGCAGCTGTCTGCTTTCGTGTCATCGGTTACAAAATGAGGGCTTTAATGGAGTGCGCTGCAGTGTACAGTCTAGAGGGAGAAAGAGCTTTCATGTAGCTGTGATCCATTATGGCTTTGCAGAGTATTAATTTTACATCAGTCTATATGTCTAGGATTTTCAGCCTAAACCAAAATGAAGTTCTCGTCTAATATTCTGTGTGTGTCATGGAAATTAAAAAAAAAAATATTTTTACAAAATAATCGCCTGAGGGTTTTTAGATTCTTACGAGATGCATCAATCGCCCTTTATTCAACATTAATTCATTAATTATTAATTTTGGCTTATGATTAATGTATTTTGTAATACTGATGCATAAAGATTATAGTATGACTAAATAAAACCAAAACTTAATAGTCCCTTAATAGCTCTCAGGGCTGTTAGTACCTGGAGCCTGGAGTCGAGCACACGGGACGGTTTGAGATAGCACTGATTGTTCTATGCACCAACTCCAGAGTTTTCGGCTTCTGAGTCATGAGCTGATAAAATTACCCTGTGTACGTACGAATTAAGAATTTTCATTGGGTATGTGTACGCTCAACAAATTACTGTCTGCAGAACTGCTCGCAATACACACAGCCTTCTGAGATAACGGGCAACTCTTGGAATTGTGGCAATGAATAGCACAGCGGACACTAAATCCCATGCATTGTATTTTAAATGTACCTGGCATTTTAAAGCTGTGAAGAATAAAACATTGCTGTTCTTGGCAACGTAACAGTTATTTGAGGTCTACACAGTGGTAACAGGTTCTCAAGACGTTGTTGTTCTGTAGGTCAGTGAATTCAGACTCTTGCAGAGCAGGGAAGGCAGAATTCAGCTTTGTGGTGCGGGTTGTCGGTGAGATTGCGCTGCCAGCAGGCACCCGAGCTCCGCGAGCAAAGGCTTTTGGCTCGGCTCCTCAGCTGGGTTCAGCTGTTAGGAGAAAACATGAGAGGTCTGAAAGTTTATTGTGCAGATATTTACATAACAGCCTGGAGTTAATGGAACTATTTGTGCAGAATATTATACTTGAGTATTTGCAAGATCAGGGTTTAAAACCTCAAAGAATAAAGGTTTTATAAATAGAAAAAACCCTTCAAATTGTTCGCAAGAAAACGCTGGGAACCAGTAAAGTCCGAGCGCGAAAGGTGGCTGCTACTGGCGAAGTGCAGGGTGAAGCTGAAGGCCAGCCGAGTGCCGCCGTGTCCCGGTGGAATCTCGAGGAAGGCTCGTTCCGGTGCCCCAGCACGGCGCTTTCGGCAGCTGGCCAAGAGGAAAGGTCACTGTGTGTTTACCTGGCGCGGACAGCTGACGCAGGAGCCTGCAATGGCCACGTGCAAATATTTAAAAGCTGCCTCTGAGAAAACTCCAGGCCTGCTTTTAAGCTTCAGAATATGTGAAAAAAGTTTTTTATCAAAGGGACATGTAGATTTCACCATTTTTCTCAGCTCATTCTTCAGCTAATGTAGAAAATCTCTCCTCGAAGTCTTCCCCCCCCCATCATGGCCCAGGTTACGGGTCCGAAGCAGAGCAGTGCCAGGTGGGCTATGGGCCTGGCAGTGGGCTGAGCAGCAGGAGGGGATCGCTGCTCCCCCCTGAGCGCTCGAACTTACAGAATCCCAGCATGGCAGGGGTTGGCAGGGCCCTCTGTGGGTCACCCAGCCCAACCCCCTGCCCAAGCAGGGGCACCCAGAGCCAGCTGGACCAGCAACC